AATGTGGCTTAGGGAGTCCCGGTGCGGAGAGCTGCGCTATAGACTTACCCCAAGAGGCCTGAGGATAGTAGTGCCTTCTTTATATTTTTATGTGTATGCAAGTGCACCTGTGTTGTGCAGTGACCTCAGAAAACAGAAAAGGGCGTCTGATCCTCTGGAACTGGAGTTACAGATAATTGTTAGTTGCCATGTGGGTGCTGGGATTTGAACTTGAATCTTCTGCAAGAGCAATCAGGACCCTTAACCTCTGAGCCATCTCTCCAGCCCTCCATCTACCTTTTTAAAAAATTAATTTTTATGGGGGCTGGAGAGATGGCTCAGCGGTTAAGAGCATTGGTTGTTCTTGTAGAAGACTTGGGTTCGAATCCCAGCACCCACATGGCAGCTAACAACTGTCCGTAACTCCAGTCCCAGGGGATCTGACAGCCTCTTCTGACCTCTGCGGGCATTGCACAACATGGGTATACTTACCTACATGCAGGCAATACAGGTATACACATAAAATAAAATTTAAAAATTAATTTTTATGTGTATGAATGATTTATGTACATGTAAGTACACCCATGCATGCAATGCTTGAGGAGGCCAGAAGAGGGCGTAAGAGCCCCTGGAACTGGAGTTACAATGGATGGTTGTTAGCCACTATATGGGTGCTGGGAACTGCACTTAACTACTGAGCCATCCCCTCCAACCCTGGTTTTTTTGGTCTTTTTGAGACAGGGTCTCCCTGTAGCTCCAGCTGGCCTGGAACTCACTTTATAGACCAGGGTGGCCTTGAACTCACAGAGATCCACCTGACTCTGCCTCCCGAGTGCTGGGATCACAGGCATGTGCCACCCTGCCCAGCTCTTTTGGTTAATTTTTTTTTTCAATTTTCTGTGTATGAGTGTATTGCCTGCATGTATGTGGGTGCACCTGTGTCATGCTGTGCCGCGGAGGTCAAGAGGGCTTTCATTTCCCCTGGAACTGGAGTTAAGCTGGGAACCGAACCCAGGTCCTCTGCAAGAGCAGTCAGTGCTCTTAACCGCTGAGCCATCTCTCCAGCCCCTTGGTTGATTTTTAAAAAAATATTTTATTATGTTTATGAGTGTTTGGCATGCCTGCATGTGTGAGCACTGCCCACAGATGTCAGAAGAGGGCATAAGATCCCCTGGAACTGGAGTTACGGGTGGTTGTTAGACATCATGTGAGTGTTGGAAACTGAACCTGGGTCCTCTGCAAGAGCAGCCAGTGCTCTTAACCACTGTACCATCCTTCCAGCCCCTTGTTTGGTTTTGTTGAGACACTGTCTCCCTGTAGCCTCAGCTGGCCTGGAACTCACTATGTATAGAGGTAGCTAGCCTCAGATCTCCCAGAGCTCTGCCTGCCTTTGCCTCCTGAGTGCTGGGATTAAAGGCATGAGCTACCACACCTGTTACCCCACCATGTCACAGGGGCTCACTGGTTAGCTGCCCCAACAAGCTCCAGGGATCCACCTGTCTCCACCTCAGCACAGGAATTACAAATGCATCACCATGTTTGGTTTTTGGGGGTTTTTTTTTGTTTTTTTTTTTTTTTTTTTTGGTCTTTGTGAGACAGGGTCTCCCTGTAGCCATAGCTGGCCTGGAACTTTCTCTGTAGACCAGGCTGGCCTCGAACTCACAAAGCTCTTCCTGCCTCTGCCTCCAGAGTGCTGGGACTAAAGGTGTGCACCACCACGCCCAGCTACCATGTTTGGGTTTTTACATGTGTCCTAAAGTCAATCTCTGGTCCTCAGGCTAGTAAACACACTAGACTCCTGTGACTTTCTCATGGTACATGAAAGGGTTCTAGAAGACAAATACTGTGTCAGAGTGTTGTTGTAAGTGTATACAGGCTGATGTTCCGAATCTGAAATGCTCAGAAATCTGAAATAGTTTGAACATCATGGCAGATGTGATACCATAAGTAGAAAATTCCCCATTATAAAATTTTGCTTTAGAGGTTGGGTGGTGGCATATGCCTTTAATCCCAGCACTCAGGAGTCAGAGGCAGGCAGATCTTTGTGAGATCAAGGCCAGTCTGGTCTACATAGTGAGTTCTAGGCCAGCTGGGGCTACAGGGGACCCTGTCCCAAAAAGACCAAAAAAAAAAAAATTTTTTTTTTGCTTTATTCACAAAATTATTGGAAATACTACATAAAATTGCCTTCATGCCTAGCATGGTGTCCTGTGTGTTTCTGAAGACTCAGAGCAGGAATTAGCAAACCACTGTTAGTCCAAAGGTCAAACCTGGCCCATAGTTTGTTTCTGCAGTCAAGTTTTATTGGAACTTAGCCATAGTCATAAGTGATCTGTGTCTGATTTGTGTTATAACAGCAGAGTTGCAAGAACATATGGCCCTGAAAAGCCTAAGATACATACTGTATGGCCTCACACAACTTTCTGATCCCTTGCTCTACAAAAGTCTAGATCTAGGACATACATGGAAGAGCCAGTGGTCTAGAATTATGGGTGATTTTCCCCCCATCTTTCCCCTCTGGGTCTCTCTCTGTTTTCCAGATAGACCTTGAACTGGTGGTTCTCCTGCCTCAGCCTCACAACTAGCTGGGATCTCATCTACCACTAGGCCCAGTTGTTTATTTTCTAATGTTTCTGCTGTGAGCAGATATCCTTGAGTCCATCAGCTTTTTAGTCAGCTGTGTGACTTTAGATATGACCACTAGGTGGAGCACAGTTACTGCCAATTGCCTCTCAAATGGTGTGCCTATTGCACAGCTGCAGAAAAAATTTCTGTTTGAGTCAAATTGAAATCCTCTTTGTCACTTTCTAGCCCCAACGTGGAGTGCAAAAGCATGAGGTTCGGCATGTTGAAGGACCATCAAGCTGTCACTGGAAATGTCACCGCTTTTGATGGATCTATTCTCTATCTACCTGTTCAGCTTCAACAAGTGAGACCAAGTGAAGATGTGGTTTAGATGGAACTCCTGAGAGTGCTCTGATGATTCCAGTAGTTTAAACTTAGAGACTTCTGGACATTTAACTTGAACTTCCCTCTTCTTAGAGAGGAGGCAGATAGACTCTGTAGAACATAGAAAATCCCCCATGTGTATTCTTTAGGAAGCACCTGCCCACTCATGAGGAGTGCTGGAAAAGCTTTGGCCTCCATGACAAAGATGGCTTAACATTTCAAGTTCAGGGGCTGGAGAGATGGCTCAGTGGTTGAAAGTACTAGCTGCAGTTCCCAGCACCCACAGAAGGCCACTCACAACCCCCTGTAACACCAGTTTCAAAGGATCTGTTGTCCTTTTTGGCTCTACAGGCATCTGCATGCACATACAGAAAAGCAGGCATACACACATATATATAAATTAAAAGTAAAAATTTTTTAAATTTTATTTATTGTATTTATGTGTATGCATGTATTGCCTGTATGTAGGTAAGTGTACCTGTATCGTGCAATGCCCGCAGAGGACAGAAGAGGCTGGAACTGGAGTTACGGACAGTTGTTAGCTGCCATGTGGGTGCTGGGATTTGAACCTGGGTCTTCTGCAAGAACAGTGTTCTTAACCTCTGAGTCATCTCTCCAGTCCCTAAAAATAAAATTTTAAAATACTCAAATTTTATTCATTGAAGAAAAAAAAAAAACAGTAATTGGGGCTGGCCAGATGGCTCAGCAGTTAAGAGCACTGACTGCTCTTGCAGAGGACCTGGGTTGGATTCCCAGCACCCACATGGCAGCTAACAACCATCCATAACTCCAGTTCCAGGTGATCCAATACCCCTTTCTGACCTCTGTGGGCATTGTATGACACATAAAATATTTAAAAAAGTAATTTCCCAAATCCTGCATGTTACACTGTGGTTTTGCCAGCACAAGCAACAAAGTGAGAGGGAATAGAAGACATGCTGAAAAGCTACCATAGTGGGCTATGGATTGTGGTTAGGAAAGTTGGGGCTTGGTGGTTTTTTTCATTTCTTTTTACTTGTATGTATTTGTGTGTTAGGTTCTTGAGTTAAAAAGTCAGAGGAAAACGGATGATGCTGAGATCAGCATCAAGATTCAGTTGACAAAGATTCTGGAGCCATGTTCTGACTTGTGCATTCCCTTCTACAATGTTGTCTTCCGGAGGTGAGGACACAGCTACAGGCTTTCTGGGCTTTAAAGTGTCTTGTACTTGTGGTAATGCTACTCAGGAAGTGTGGATGACAACACACAGTGTCTTATGTCCGTGGATAGGTTTGGAAGCATTTAAATGAATGATCTTGGTACCAGCTTACTAAAGATTACTTCATATTTGTCAGAGTTAGGTATATGAAATTAAGCTTGGGGTTTACATACATGCAGGCAATATATTCATACAAATAAAATGAAAATAAAATTTTTTTTAAAAAGGGGGAGCAGGAGGACTGGAGAGACAGCTCAGCGGTTAAGAACACTGGTGGTTCTTGCAGAAGACCTGGGTTTGAATCCCAGCACCCACATGGCAGCTAACAACTGTTTGTAACTCCAGTTCCAGGGGATCCCATAGTTGCTTCTGTCCTCTGCAGGCATTGCACAACACAGGTGCACTTATCTACATGCAGGCAATACATGCATATACATAAAGTAAAAATAATAAATAAAATATTAAAAGGGGGGAGCAGGAGAGATGATTCAGAGGTTAAGAGCACTAGCTGCTCTTGCAGAGGTCCTTCATTCCATCCCCAGCACCCACATGGCAGCTAACAACCTCCTGTAACTCCAGTTCCAGGGGATCCAAAGCCCTCTTCTGTCCTTTGCAGGCATTGCACTACATGGGTACACTTACATACATGCAAACAATACTCTCATACACATATAATTAAAATAAAATATATTTGAAAAAGAAATTAGGCTTGGGGGTGGCTGTCTAAATAGATGGATTCCTTTTGATTAGTTTAAGAATTTTTAGAACATGTGTTTTTGAGACAGGATTTCATGTAGCCCAGCCTAGCTGAGAATGGCTTACCTTGATCTTCCTGCCTCCGTTTCCTTAATGCTGGGATTACAGATGTGAGCAACCACACTCAGCCAAAGCAGATGTTTACATTGTGTACTTAACTGTGTTTTAAGTGAGGGGGAATGCTCAGAGTACAAAAATATTTGCTAGGAGCCTTTTTCCAGACTTTGTTTAGACAGACAATTTACAGTTGCTTAGCCATGTTTGAGACTTCCTAAATTTTCACAGGTGTTTTCCCAAACTACCTTTCATTTAGAAATAGAACTGAAACTGAACTGCTAGAAACAAACATAATTTCCTTTTTCTGGCTGTTATTCACAAACTTGGAAACTGGCTTGCTTCTGTTCTCTTTGGTTCCTGGTAGAAAGAAATGTAAATTAAACCTCAGAAATAACTCAAGTGTTTGGTTAGGTCATTTGTAGTGTTCTGAGATAGATGTTTTGTTAACTTTTATTTTTCTCTTATCAAGATTGTTCTTAACATAATAGCTACCTTGTACAGAGAACATAAGCATTTTCTGACCCTTAAGGTTTGAAAAGGAAAACGTAGCTAAGAGTAATAGGGCTTTTTAATAGTTTTATGTTAGAAAACCAGTTCTAGGCCTTTTACAGTGGGAGAGTGCTTGCTTGGTGGGAGTGAAGTTCTCTGTTCCATCTTCAGCACTACAAAAGGAAAGAAAAGAAATCCCATTCCTACTCTATTTCAGGGTAATGAAACTCTTAGACATGAAGCTTGTGGGGAGAAACTTCTACGATCCTACGAGTGCCATGGTCCTGCAGCAGCACAGGTTAGTGATGGTTGTTTTTTCTTCTCCATTCTTTTAGATTTGTTTTTATTTTTTATGTGTATGGTGTTTATGGAAGTGTACTGTTTGCATGCAGTGCCAAGGATGCCAGAATATGGCATTAGATCCCCTGGAACTGGAGTTCAGAACAGTTGTTAGTCATCATGTGGGTCCTGGAAACCATACCCAGGTCCTCTGGAAGAGCAGCCAGTGCTCTTAACCCCTGAGCCATCTCTCTAGCTCCCTACTTCAATTTTGAATGTTCTAGAAAGAAAGTGACCTCTAAACTTGGGACAAAAATTTCAACAGTATTTTATGGTAGTAAGTGCGGTTTTATCAATTGAATCCTTTTTGTTTGTTGTTTGTTTATATCTTTTAGTAAATTTGCAGTGATGTTGATTTAATTGAGTTTTTCTGGGGCCTCTTCATTTACAGGAAGGGCAGTATCAGCTCTGTGTTGTTTTAAATGAGGGCATGGAATTCGATAGCCCTGATCCTTTTAGAACTCTAGGGTGATCCAGGTGTGGTGGCACATGCCTTTAATCCCAGCACTTGGAAACAGAGGCAGGTGGATTTCTGTGAGTTCAAGGCCAGCCTGGTCTACATAGTGAGTCCCAGGTCAGCTGGAGCTATAAGGAGACCCTGTCTCAAAAAAAAAAAAAAAAAAAAGCCCAAAAAATCTCTAGGGTGAAGAACACCTCTCTCACCTCTCTCTTCAGATTGCAGATCTGGCCAGGCTATGCAGCTAGCATTCGGAGGACAGATGGAGGGCTTTTCTTGCTTGCTGATGTCTCCCATAAGGTCATTCGGAATGATTCTGTGCTGGATGTCATGTGAGTAAATGATGGGGTCCACATTTATATGCTGATGACTTTGGAATTTCTGTAGAATTTTGTCTAGGCAGACTTCAGGCTAGACGTGGGTCTATTTGGACTTTTAGTTGTAAATGGATTAAAAGAACTGAAGCCAGGTGTGATGGCTCCTGCCTGTAATCCCAACACTAGGAAGGCTAAGGCAAGAGGATCACCTCAAGTTCAAGTCCAGTCTGGACTACATAAAGTTTCCAGGTCAGCCTAGGCTACAGTTGTGAGACCCTGTCTCAGAAAACAAAACAAAACAAAAAAAATTGAATGGCTATGCTCTTGTCCCTAAGTCCTACTGAGATGGGCATCTGAAGAGACATCTGCTCAATAGTTCCCGGGTGCTCAGAATCAAATTAGCTTTGAGCTCTGTTCTCCAAGTTAGTCAGAAATCATGTGTGAGGTATCAACTTAGCCCATTATGTCACACATCAATCTGGGTGTGTATGACTATGACTTTTGGGGTTCTTTTTGTTTTCTTTTGTTTGTTTCTGGTCTTTTTTTCCTGGCCTGGAACTCACTATGTACCAGGCTGGCCTCAATCTCACAGAGATCTACCTGCCTCTGCCTCCTGAGGGCTGGGACTAAAAGTATGCACAACCATGCCCAGCTGTGTTTTTAATTTTTGAGACAGTCTCACTCTGTAACACAACCTAACCAGGAACTCACTTTGTGGCTCAAGCTGGCCTCAAACTTGAAATGATCCTCCCCATCCAACCCCTGTAGCTGGCACTATAGGCATGTACCACCACACCTGATTTGAGAATGGACATTTATGCAAAGGAACAGTGTAAGGGGTGAGTGGATGGAAAACTACTGACATAGAAACTTGATGGGCAGATTCTGGCTAAATAGACATAAGAGGATTCCTGCTTGTGTCAGTCTGGGGTATCACCTGGGGGAATGGTAGGAGAAGACTGATCAGATATTAAGGATTAGAATGCTGGCTGAACCAACACAGTGGGATTCTTACTAAAACTGGTAAAATGGAAACCTAAAGGTTAGAACCTAGAAATAAGAGCCTGACTAGAATTTGGTCAAGGAGAGAATCTTACTCATTTCCTAATATTCATCTTTCAAGGTCCTTGTGAAGTCTCTGCTCTTGAGAATGGGCTAAATTTATCCACACATGAATGAATAGAATGTACCGGAGTGAGGAGATTCCTTGCCGAGAGTAGGCTAGGAAAAGGTTATGCCTTTTGTCTTGACTATGCTCTCTCACTGTTTCTTGGGCCATTCATTGAGGGGAAGCTGACAGTCATGTTATGGGGCAGCCTGGTGGAATGGCTCACTGAAGTGACTTTAGCAGCACATCTTACTTTGGTCCACCCTTGAGATAGCTGCAGCTGAGCTGAAACCTTGCCATGCTCGAATTGCTGACCCACAAAAAACTGAGCTAACATCCAGAAATATAAATGTAATATATTATTATTAAAATGTCTTTTGTGATTCTGGAGGTAGAACTTAAGGCTTTATTTATACATGCTATGCTAGCACCCTATCACTGAGCTACATCTACAGCTCGTGTGTTTTTTGGTCTTTTTTAAAAATATTATTTTTATTTTTATGTGTATGAGTGTATTGCCTGCATGTAAGTTCACTGTCATGCAATGCCGGAGGAAGTCAGAAGAGGGTGTTGGATCCCCTGGAACTGGAGTTATGGATGATTGTTAGCCGTCTTCTGACCTCCACAGGCATTGCATGACATGGGTGCAATATACTCATATCCATAAAATAAAAATAATTTAAAAATTATAAAAAAGTATATATCACTTGTTTTTTTGAGGAAACAGGAAAGTCACCTAAAAAAAAAAATCTAGCTGTATCCTTGTTTAGGAGTCTCTGGTACTATACAATTAGATGTTCTTTGATCAATAAACCTTTTCCTCCAATAGAGAGCAAACAAATTGGGAAGGTTATTGGAAATGAAATGTTAATTTGGATTGTATCAATAAAGTATGGAAAATTGGTGAATGTCATGATTTAAAGGTTAATAAGGGACCAGTGAGATGACTCAGTGGGCAAAAGCTGAGATTAAAATCACTAAGCCCATAATTGACTTACTGAAGTCCCCATCCCCTTTGTATTGCCTTATAATTAGACATATTTTCCCTCTTTCCAAAGGCATGCCATATACCAACAGAACAAAGAACACTTTCAGGATGAGTGCAGTAAGCTTCTGGTGGGCAACATTGTCATCACACGATACAACAACCGCACCTACCGCATCGATGACGTGGACTGGAATAAGACCCCGAAAGACAGCTTCATGATGTCTGATGGGAAGGAGATCACATTCCTGGAATACTACAGGTGGAGAGACTGGGTTTGGGCCTGAGGTGGAGGTGAAATGTAGTCCCTAAGTCTCAAGAGGCCATGAGTTCCATAATGTGTATAGTACCTGACACTAACAATACTTAGATTAGTGTGACACCCGAGACTGAAGGAACTGGTCTGTGGGATTCACCCTGAATATGCCACCCCTACAGTCAGCTCTTTTGGTACTTTAGGCAGTTACTACATAAGTGAATCTCAGGGCTTCAATTTATATTTTTCTTGCTGAATTGTTGGAAGTCTGGTTAGAAAAAAGTGATATTCAAGCCATTAATCATTAGACTTTCATTTTGTCTTTCTATTACCTGAGCCCTTTAGCCTGATGAATTTTTTATTTTTTAAATATTTTATTCATTATTTTTATTTTATGTGTATGATTGTATTGCCTGCATGTGTGTGAGTACACTCATGCCTTGCAGTGACCTCGGAGGTCAGAAGAGGGCATTGAATTCCCTGGAACTGGAGTTAGGAATGGTTGTTAGCTGCCATGTCGGTGCTTGGGAATCGAACCCAGCTTCTCTTCAAGAGCAGCCAGTGCTCTTAACCTCCAAGCCACCTCTCCAGCCCCTGCGCGATGCATTTTTAACATAATTCTCTCTTGGACTTGTAGCCTTTGTTCTCTGTTTATTAACAAGGTAACTTTAGCCTACTTTTTCCAGTTACATACATCATGTTGGGTTTCTGATGGATCTTTGACAAGGGTATTGTGCTAATTGTAAGCTGCAGTAAGACTGGGTAAGAGCTGCAGGGGATGTTGCTGTAGGAGTGATGACACTGGTTCTTGTTCTCCCTTGCCTTTAGCAAGAACTATGGGATCACAGTGAAGGAAGATGACCAGCCACTGCTCATCCACAGGCTCAGTGAGAGGCAGAACAACCATGGCACAGTGAGTGGCTTCCAAAATCTTGTCTTACTGTCCACTGGTAGTTTTCCTTAGGCTGTGTGTGTGTGTGTGTGTGTGTGTGTACATGCAGTGTGGAATACTGGGCAGGGTTTTGTTTCTCTGGCCAGGGGTATCATGTCACACTGGTAGGTTTTGTTTTGGAATCCCCACAAGGAGGAGCTAAATCTGAACATGAACAATTTGGGTTAAAGGTGTAAGGTATTGCCTGTGTATAAAGATTAAAACTCCGATCTGGGGCATGGTAGCTGATCCCAGCACTTGGGAAGCTGAGGCAAGAAAATTGCTGCGAGTTCAAGACCAGCCTGGGCTATATAACAAGACACTCTCTCAAAAATAAATGGGGCTAGAAGGATGGCTCAGTGGTTAAGAGTACTGGCCGCTTTTCCAGAGGACCCAGGTTCAGTTCCCAGCTGTTGGTAACTCCGGTTCTAGGGGATCTGACATTTTCTTCTGGCATCCAAGGGCTTTGCACAATAAGGGTGCATTTACATAAAAGCAGGCAAAACACTCATACACATAAGATAAAAATTAATTAATTTAAGTAAATAAATAAGGGCTGGAGAGGTAACTCAGTAATTAAAAACTGGCTGCTATGGCCAGGTGTGGTGGCACACACCTTTAATCTCAGCACTCAGGAGGCAGAGGCAGGTGGATCTCTGTGAGTTCAAGGCCAGCCTGGTCTACATAGTGAATTCCAAGCCAGCTGGGGCTACAGGAAGACCCTGTCTCAAAAAAAGACAAATAAATAAATAAATAAATAAATAAATAAATAAATAAATAAAAAATAAAAAATAAATAATAAAAGCACTGGCTGCTCTTGCAGAGGACTCAGATTCCGGTCCCAGCATCCATATAATGGCTGTCTGTAACTCCACTTCCAGAGGATCTGACACCCTTTTGTAGCCTCCGTGGGTACTGCAGGACACTGTTGGCACTTAGATACCTGCAGGCAAAAACACTCATACAAAATAAATAAATCGCTGGGTGTGGTGGCGCACGCCTTTAATCCCAGCACTTGGGAGGCAGAGACAGGTGGATCTCTGTGAGTTTGAGGCCAGCCTGGTCTACATAGTGAGTTCCAGGACAGCTGGGGCCATAGGGAGACCCTGTCTCAAAAAGACCAAAAAGTAAAAAAAATAAAATAAATAAAAAAAAAAATTTAAAAATGGATAAGCAAGCAGATCTATAGATCCAGGAAGGAGGGTATAGAGGTTTATTTTAACAGGAAGGGCCTGAGAAATGCTTCGTCACTTCTCTTGGTCTTAATAAGACAGAAGGCTAAAGGTCAGCAGGGGAAGAGCAGGAGGCAGAGCCTGACAAAATGGATTGTCTTACCATCATCTTGACACTTGATAGGAACAAAACTTTAGATTTTTTTTTCTCCTTCCTTGTAACAGTTCCCCCACCACCCCCTTTACCTAACACAGCAGCTGTCTGTGCTGTAGTCAAGTTGATAACAGGTAGAATACATGGAGTGTTTCCTTATCCTCTTGCCTTCTTCCTTGGAGTTTTATAAAGGTTCCTTTGTGGCAAGTTACATCCCTGCAGACCTGGATCCACCTTGAATGGTCTGAGACATGCCATCTCCACCATCTCACTTTCTCTCTTGTTTTCTTGTCAAAGCTGCTGAAGGGTGAAATTCTGCTGCTGCCTGAACTGTCCTTCATGACAGGGATCCCTGAGAAGATGAAGAAGGACTTCAGGGCCATGAAGGTTGGAGTCCTGCTGTTTTGGCGTGGGGGTTGCATCCTTTGATCGGCCACTTTTGTGATAGCAGCCTGAGTTAGGACTGAGCCAGTTTCCAGTTCTGGTCCTACCTTAGAATTGTCGCCCAGGCAGGACCTTTCTTCCTGACTCCAGTTTTCTTCTCTGAAATCTCATCCATGTCCCTTACTATGGAAAAAGTGTTAAAGCGTGTTCTTTTTGAAGATCTTTAAACACTGGATTCTAAGGTAAAAAGGTAAACACTGGATTCTAAGGTAAAAAGAAACAGCCATGTTCTCCTCCTCCTCAGTTGGGTGGATGATGGTAAACTTATCACATAACAATAAATGAAGGGCCCCTTGACAGCACCAAATTACTGTAGTCTTTCTACAGATCATCAGTTTATTCGAAGGTGTGGAGGAAAATGAAGCAAAAGTTCAGCAAGTGGGAAGATGAGAAGAGTCATTTATTCTGTAAGACTTTTGAGGCCTGGGGAGCATTGGGCTCAGCTCTGGCAGGACTTGCTAAGAGGCACAAATGGGCCCAGCACACACATCCACAACCTCCACCACTACCTGCCACCCCCAGTGGTCCTTGCTTGAGTTTCCCTCTGCCACCTTGCTTTCTTGGTGTGTCCCAGATCCATAGGCCTTGTAGGTTTTAGTAGCATCATAAAGAGCCTAAGTGAACCTGAAAGTCCCTGAGAGATTGCTTTAATGTTTACCTACTGATTCTTCTGCTCCTACTGTGCAGGTCAGTGCCCCTTGCTGTCAACTCCCCATTGCCTGATGGCTTTATGATCACTCTACTATCTACATGGCCCCATGGAGGTTCTGAACAGCAGCTGTGTGATCCTTGAGTTTCAGAAACAGAGAACACGCACATGATTCAAATTATTCATACACACCTGTAAATGCTCACGTATTTACAAAGCCTGAATATGGTTTACTATCCTGTGTCTGTCCAGATGCTAGCCTATGGCTCCCCCTGTGCCCCATTTTTCCTCAGATGTTAAATAGGCATAACTAAGCCCCCTTCACTCCTGTTTCATGGAATCAGGAATGCTAAATTCAGAAGATGCCTTGAGTGAAAAAGAAATATGATGTCATGGGGCAGAAAGAGTAACTTTTAATTTTATGTGTATGCATGTATTGCGTGTATGTAGGTAAGTGCACCTGTGTCGTGCAGTGCCTCCAGAGGTCAGAAGAGGCTGTTGGATCCCCTGGGACTGGAGTTACAGACAGTTGTTAGCTGCCTTGTGGGTGCTGGGATTCGAACCCAGTGTTTTTAACTGCTGAGCTATCTCTCCAGCCTGAAAGAGTAACTTTTTAAAGTTCTTACTTTATTAATTTTTCCACCAAATACCTCATTCACATTTCTGAAAGATATTTGAAATTTTCCCCTGATTTCAGTGACAGTGAGATTGCTTATGGAAACATTCAGACACATTGAGTTTTATTTAACGTCATGTTAGAGGAAGTAAACTTAGAACTTGCTGTCTTTTAATTTTGTCTAGGATTTGACCCAGCAGATTAACTTGAGCCCCAAACAGCACCATAATGCTTTGGAGTGCCTGCTGCAGAAAATTTCAAAGAATGAGACAGCCAACAATGAGCTGACCCGCTGGGGTCTCAGTCTGCAGAAGGATGTCCACAAGGTAAACCAGAGAGGACAAGGGGCAAGCAACCCAAGTCAAAGCTGTGACATCTGGGGCTGAGCTGGTCAGAGTGACATCCATGATTATCTTTATTGTGGAATTTTAGCTTTCTTCTTTTTTTTTTTTTTTTTTTTTTTTTGAGACAGTCTCTCTATAGCTCCAGCTGTCAGCTTGCCCAGAACTGGTTATGTAGACCAGGTTAGCCTTGATCTCAGAGAGATCTGCCTGCCTCTGCCTCCTCTGCCTCTGCTGGGATGAAAGGTGTGCTCTACCACACCCAACTGGCTTTGTTCTTAAACCTTTTCCTGTCCCAGTCATGGCATCTGAATGTCCTTAACTCAGTTTACTGTCGGCATTTTCGGATGTTGTTCTAGACAATTTCCAAGGATCAGAGCTATTAATAGAAAACAAGAAAAGTATTAAAATTTTCCTCATTTTAATTTTCCAACCCAGATTGTTTTTAGATTGTTTCAATTTAAAAAAAAAACTTACATTTATGGAGAGAGAAAGAGAGAGAGAGAGACAGAGACAGAGAGACAGAGACAGAGACAGAGAGACAAGCCACAGTGCTCATGTGGAGTCAGTTTTCTCCTTCCATCGTGTGGGTCCCAGGGATCAAATTCAGGTTGTCAGGCAAATCCCTTTATCTGCTGAACCTTTTTGCCAGCCCTGTTTTACATTTTTAGGCTGTTTTTTTGTGGTGCTAGAGATTGAACCCCAACCTAGATTATTCTTAGAGTTGTGTAGTCTTTTTTTCTTGTTTTTTTAAAAAATTATTTATTTAATAACCACATGATTAAAAGAAGCATTTCATTACAGCATTAATATATTCAATAACAATTTCCAGAGCAAAGATGCATCTCTTTCAAAATTGGCTGTAAATTTTTAGGTTCACAGT